TGGTGGCAGCTTTCTCCAGGGGTAGCAAAGGCTCTACCCTTTTGTTTTTAGGTTTTTAAAAAAATTCCCTTGGGGCAAATAAAAAGTATTCTTTTCCCTATGTTTAAAAGGGGGTAGATCAAAAGATAGGTAATACCTAATAACCAGCAGCATTATTTGAGGTAGTGTGTAGCAGCCGTTCTCCTCCATGTTCTCAGTAGTGTAAGAAGTTAGAGGTGGCTCTATGTAAATAGACTTTTCCTTTGGGTTAGCTAGTGAAGCATTCCCTTCTCCCATTCAGAATAGTTCTTCTGGAGGTCGAACACTTGGAGAGAAAAATGACATCGATTATCAAGTTAACGACGCTTTCAGGGGTGCAGGAGGAATCTGCCCTGTGCTATCTGTTGCAAGTAGATGAATTTCGGTTTCTCTTGGACTGTGGCTGGGATGAAAACTTTTCTATGGATATTATTGATTCGCTAAGAAAGTAAGTAGTTCATACATCTGAAAAAAAATCTTATTCTTTTCAGAAGTGTTCTAAATGTCATTTTGTTTTGTATGTATGATAATGTTAAATCCCAAAGCATTCTTTTTTATTTGAAAATATCTTTTAATTGAAAGGTATGACTGATAAAACACTTCCAGTAAAAAGTAATCTTTTCCTTGTGAGTCAGTGAGTCAAATCTAGTAACTCTAGTTCTCAGACTTCTTCTGTTTTTTTGTTTTGATTTGGGTGTTTTGTTTTTTCATAAACATAACACAGAACAGAGGCTGTGGGAGACTGAGCTTAGCTCTAAACTGATGCAGGATGGCTAACTAAGTTTAAATAAAAGAATTCTCATTGCATGAAAGCTGAAGATAAAGTGGTTTGGCTTTTGCCTCCTGTTTTAGGTTTAACAGACCGTCAGCCTGGAGAAAAGCTTTTGTTAGTGTCCCAGGCCTGCAAAGAAATAAACATGTCAAGTGTTTTGTACTGAACATCTGTAGGTTTACAGTGAGGAGCTTTCCTCATGCGCGCATTGATTTCAGAGTTAGGCCTGAAACATGGAAATTCCTGAAAAAAACTAAGCCTTGTGATGCTATCTTTATAGATTTACTTTTTCAGTATTAACATACTTGTAATATTTGAAGTCTTTTAGCTGAGCAATATCCTGTATTAAGGATAGCTTCTAAAGTTTTGTTAAATGCCTTACCTGAGAAGCAATTAAACAAAAATCTCCTTTTTAAGAAGAATACCGTCAAAAAAAAAAAAAAGTGTGTGCTTCCGTTGCTAGCCAAGGGAACAAAAAGCTAGACTTCTGAGTCTGTCAACCCAGCTTGTGTTTTCCCTCGTGGCATCTCTTTCAAGGCTTCATGTTTTTCGATCATGCTAGACAGTAAGTTTTTATTTTGAACTCTTACTTTACAAAACACCTGGCAAAAAGAGTCACCTTATATACTCCAAAAAAAAAAATGGATAATTTTAAAAGATAACTTTGACCTTTTCTGTTTTTAAAGAAACACTATGATTTCATCTCTATCAGTTTAAGTGTTGTTGAGCTTTGAGTCCTCTTACGTGGTCTTGCTGATCTGAATGTCAGCTGCAGTCCATTTTGGGTTAATGTGTAACCTGTTTTTGATGTGTAAACAGTTTATGATGTGTCTTTGTACTGAAAACATTTTTGGCCCTTCAGTTGATATGTAAACACCAGAAAGCACATGAAGAATTGAATGTGAAACTTTCAAGAGCTCTTGTGTGACCTGGCCTTAAAGTTACTTTTTTCGGTATTTAAGTTCTTATGTTGCTTGAATGTCTGGAAATATTTGTATTTTTTTAAATTGCTTTTAAACATTTCATTCTAGACCTGGAGGGATTTATTTTCTCATTTGCCATTCAGATTGTGTACTTTTTCCCAAAACAACTGTAATAGGGAGTATAGAATACAATGCAGACCGTGTTTTCACCAGCTCCTTCTGTTGTCCCTTTTTTGTAGGCATGTACACCAGGTTGATGCTGTTCTTCTTTCTCATCCTGACCCTCTACATCTTGGTGCTCTTCCATATGCAGTTGGGAAAATGGGCTTAAATTGTGCCATTTATGCAACTATTCCTGTATATAAAATGGGACAGATGTTTATGTATGATCTCTATCAGGTATATTTAAATTGATACTTTCATACACAAAATCTCTGATATGGTAGAGTGCTCAGGTTCTTGAACGTTCTTTACTTCTTATTTCTTTTAGTCCCGCCATAATACAGAAGACTTCACTCTCTTTACGTTGGATGACGTAGATGCAGCCTTTGACAAAATACAGCAGCTGAAATTTTCTCAGATTGTGAACTTGAAAGGTAAAGTTGTTCTGTTTCACTAAATTATTTTTAATGGCTCTGTTGCCTTTCGCTACAAATGAAGGTAACCTTTTAGAAAGGAGTAGGTCTTTGTGTATTTCTCAGCCTGGACCACAGCCCAACACGGTAGGGCTTTGTTGCTCTGTATCACAGAACATCTGTCTCAGTAATTGTATTTGGAAATGGGTAGGCTTCTGCTTAAATTAATGAGAAAGAGGTTATGCCAAAGCTTGTTTAAGCATTTGTTTTTCTCCTGCGTTTTTCTAAGTTTTCTTGTAACTTACTTAGGTCTCACAAAGTATTTACTCATGCCTGGTGGTAGCTATCTTGACAACTTCTCCGTAACTAGGAGCAAAAGGGAGGGTTTTCCAGAGGATGAATAGGTTGCCAATATTAAGTTATAGTGTCTAGATGATTTAAAAAGGAGGTCTGGGCAGACTTTCAATGGTACTTAGTATGGCTTAATGTTGAGCACTGTGGCATTCTGAGAACCAGCAGATTTTTGCTCTTGCTGAGTTTAAAGATCAAAACGAAATGGAAGTTCTGGTATTGCACAAAGATACTTACTGCCTGACTACCAGCAGCTTGTCTCTGAGTTGCATCATCTCCCAGTTCCTGAACGTTGCTTGCCAAAATACGTGCCCTGTAGTATGAAAAAGAAAATTAGAAATGGCAAATCATGCTTGAAAGGCTGCTGATGCTTTTTCAAGGTATTAGCTTTGTAGCAAGGCTCTGTCCATGCTGCTATCTGTTACATCTATAAGTGGTTTAGTGAGCTCCTATTTTATAACACTTTATTCTTTCCATATTTAATTGAAGTGACTCAAAGACTTGATAGATTCATCCAAGATAATGCATGTTTTAATTATTGCCAAATCTATGCACTTCTATGCAAACTGATGGAGTACAGCAATGACAGTGAATAATTGTCATGGGTGGTCTAGTGTGATGCTGACAAAGATCTAGGTTAGTACCAATGACAATGAGAAACAGTGCTTTAAAAAAATGTTACAGGTACTGAAAAGACTTGTCATCCCTGACTTGTGCTGCAGCACATTAGATACCCTTCCTGGAAATTCTCTGCAGCTTGCATGTTTGTTTTTCAGGTGAATTTCCAGTCTGTAATTTATGTGTTTTTTGTAAGTACCCAGACAGTGAATGATATAGTAAATATTCTGGGTTGTACTAGAGAGGGACCCGCTTCTCACCAGTGCGCTTGCTTTGGTATGTTATGTTTGTTATGTAACCTGCTGTCGTTTAGGTCCGTAGGTACAGCAGCTGGGCTGCTGCACCTCTAGGAACTGGTAGGAGGGAGAGAGAAGTGATTTTCACTTTAGTTTCTTTTT